TCCTTATTATTTTTTATTTAAAATTAATTTACAAATAATAGAAATATCCAAAAATTTAAGTTTTTTTTCAAAATTCCCTTAATAAACAAACAAAAGTCTTTAATTTAATTTCCCTTAATAAAAAAAAATATTATTTTTATATATATATATATATAAAAATTAAAATCCCCCTATAAAAAAACACTTTTTTTCCCTTTTTTATTTTTTTTTAAAACCTTTTTTTAATTTTGTTTTAACCCTTTTTAAATTTTATTAAAAATTTTTTAAAATTTTAAATAACAATATAGTAATGTCCTTTTTTCTTTTTTTTTTAAATCATTTCACTCCAAGCAAGGTCACTAAGAGGTTACCAAGTGTGAAAGAATATGAGAAAAAAGAAAACATTAAGGAGAAAGAACAATAAAAGAACAGGAATTAAGACAGATGATAATGATTGACATTGCATTTAAATTTTTGAAGATCAAATTTGACTGGAAAGCAAGAAGCCAGAAGAGAATTCTACAAGCAAGAAGTAAAAGAGAAGAAATAATTAGCATAAAACTTACAATTCATCTAGCCATTTTGACTGTAAAGTGAGGAGACCTAGCTGTCAATCTCTTACTGCACTTAAATTCATAAAGTCAAGGTACCAAGGTGGAAAGCTCACCAGAACAATTGCCATGAAAATGTTACAGAAAAGGCAGAGGGGAAAATACATTATGGTGGTAGGAAAGTGAATATGATAAGTCAGGGCCAATTTGGATTTTATCAAGAATCTCTAAATACATAGCAGAAGCAACAGACTAGATGTAACAGTAGTATTCAATGCATGGATGAATGGTCAACTTATAAATGTATAAGATACAATCTGTTGAGAAAAACTGTCTAGCCACCTATTTATTTCCATGGAAGCTACAACAGAGGTAGGGAGTACACCACCACAACCACTGTCAGACAGAACAAATTTTCAACCACAAAATACTATTTTTACTCATAGTCACCACCACTAAAATCCACTCATAAACATGTGGGGGGGGGGGTCTGGTATCCCCCACGAACATGATTATATAAAGCCAAGAATAGACTGCCAATTAATACTGCTTGAAATTTTGGTCACAGAAAGCTTCCTGTCACAACTGTCAGTTTCACAACCATTTGATAATCAGGCAGCAAAAATCAGAAGCTGCTGCACCTACAATTTAACTTATATTCTAAGTCTTTGGATTACAACTATCCCAACTTATGATGATTCATGGTTACAGCAATCTCCATTAATCTTAACTTCTGGTTGTACGTCATATTGGATTGTTGTGTATTCAATCTCTTTCATTTGTGTTGTGTTTGTGGAAACTTACTGCCTTTCATTATGGCTCCCAAGCATAGTGTAACCTCTTCTGATGGCAGTATTTGAAGACAAAGAAAGCCATCACCATGGAAACAAAATTACATTCCAACTTACACGGAAAATCGTGTTATGACACATTGTATGAATTGAAGTTGAGGACCCCCTGTAGTCACCAACTACAACCAACATCTCCTTCCACCATGAGGCAGAGTCAAAGTCATCACCTACACCAGGGGTCAGCAACCTTTTCCTATGTGCTGACTTAGGGTTTTAAAATTATTCAGTGTTCCAACAGGATAAGATTTTTTTATACAAGTCAAGGTCAATATACCTGTTCTACAATATATTTTATATAGTATATATACTTTAGTATATATTAAAATTGAAACAGCTAAATATCTTCTTTGCATTGGTTCATACTTCATGATGTCATTATTTGTGGCTGCATGCCATTGGAAATTACTTGGCGTACCACGTGGCACGCCCCACACAATGGAGACTTTACCCCCCATTCATTTTTTGTGCCTTTTATCAGCTCAGATTTTATGCGTGTTACAGACATACATTTCTGATTAAGTATGGAATAATTAATATTGAATTTCATCTGTTGTCAGAGCACAAGAAAACATTTACCTGACTGTAGATCAAGTGCAGCCTGCAGTTTGGGTTGACAATAAATTCCATTGGCTGTAGTTCGCCCAGCAGTCAAAGCAGCCCTGAAGATATCAAGAGAAAATGTCAGAAAGGAAGGTCCGGGGGTGAGGGGGTGGGGGTCTAGGCAGAAGCCATTTCGCTCAGGTTTTAAGTTCCAGTTATGATAAAGAAAAATATTCTCTGCTCCTGCCAAGGACATTTTTACACAAAGTGACAAATCTAATTTGATAATTTCAGAACACTGAAAAATTAGAGTCGAAAAGTGGCAATTGGAAAAAGGTACATCATGCATTTAAAATCAGTGATTAATATGTGCTGGGTTATGTTGCTTGGTTATGTATAATACGGTTTATGGCCATATCATGTTGAAACACCAGTTCTTGTACAATCACCAAAGTTAAGGAACATTGAGCCTGGTCAATACCTAGATGGTAACTGCTTGAGAATACTGGGTACTGTAATGAATAATGGCTTGGAATTGGAAGTTAGAGTGCCAAATTTCAATTCCTGTTCAGTTTGTTATATTCATCTTACATGCAAGTACCCTTGAGAAAGGTACAAATACACCTTTTCTCCTCCCAGCTATGGGTTAATTATTAGACCTTGCATCATTAAAAATGATTATCTTCAAAAAATTCCTACAATCTAAAAATATTTTCTGGCTTTAAATAACCTGCAAAAGATTGATCATTCATAAATAAATCAATGTATAATCACACACACAAAATTATAATCTTTATAAATTTTCTATATTTATAGGGGAAGAGTGCTCAGTATTGGACATTGTGTTTTTAGACATATATACAGCATGGACATAAGAATCAACATTGCATGGTGACTCAGATGCAATTCAATATTCCGGCCAAATGTCGATTTCTATGTCCACACTGACTATATTTACAAATGTGTCACTACAGATGCAATTAGTTAAGTGTATGAAAATCTTAATTAAGATTTTTTTTTTTTTTTCATAAAATACATTTATTGGATGCTTTGGTTTGTTTCTAGTTGAGGTTTATTAGAGGTTTCGGGTCTTCCAACATCATACCCCCTCTCCACAGTGACTCAGCCGATACTGATCACGTATTGACTTGTGTACCTTCTGTTAGCTACATTTTTTTTTTTTTTTACATCCTTCTAACTACACACTGTGTCTCCTCTTGAAAATTTATAGTCCAATCCCAGATAACTTCCGGTTCACCAGCAATGTGTAATCTTTCATAAAAAAAGAAATCAAACACAACCCCAGTTTCTATCTGGTAAGAAACATAGCAGCATGCTTGGCTTGAAGTGGTAAGTAACGATTTGTTTCTCTTACCGAGACATATACACATAGATGTACACATGCAAAAACACGCTCAAGAGTCACGTTCTGCTTATACTTATCCCATTTCTGTTTATGTTAGTAAAGAAATAAATACACATGATATCAGTGTTACAATTAGCAGTCATGTTATCAAGTGTTTAGAACCAAAGCAGGAAATGGAGAAAAGTCAAATTTACAAGGTTAACAAGTTTAATTCAGATAGTACATTAGACACAAAAAAAATAGTTTGTCATCAAATGCATGTTAGGGAAATAAGAGGTTTAGCTAGTTGAGGTTATCATCATCATCCTTGTAACATTGACTGATTCGTTTTTTTTTTTTTTATGTCTTCTCACTCACTTGTAAGCTATTTAAAGCCAGAAAATATTATTACACTGTAAGAACTTTTTTGTTTTAAGACATAATAATGGTTTAGTAATACAAGTCTTAGTAATTAACTCATAGCTGGGAGGGAGAAGTGGTGGATTCATACCTTTTTTCATGGGTATTTGCAGGTAAGTGAATGTAACAAACCTAACAGTTACTGGAGCTTGGCTCTATGATTAACAATTCCAAGCCATTATCTATTACACCACCCACACATCCAACCTTACAATACCTGATGTTCCCAGGAGTTATTAAACAGGCTTGATGTTGCTTAATTTTAGTGATCATATGGTAACTGTTGTTTCAATAAAATCATATTTGTGGCATCATGCATGAACTACATAAGCAGTTAAATTATTTGGGGATGGATGATGCTGAAATATAAAAATAGCTAATGTTGGGAAAAGGGTTAAATTGAGAGGTTTGTTAAAAAAAAAAAAAAAACTTCCAGTACATCATAAGATACTTCCTAAAGTCATTCTAACCATTCGATGAAGATTTGAGTGTTTAACAGCATACCAACTCCTTATGGGTCATTTAATTTTCTTGGGAGCTTGGAAGTAATAATAAAAATATGTTATTCTGCTTTCGCAATTGAATACATGGTAGATGATGCTCAGCATTTGTGCATATAGATGTTTGTGTGAACATAATTACTAGAGGTGGTGATATGTGTGTTTTATATTGTAGTTTTGCTGAAGTTATATTTTGGAATACAGTTTGATTCAAGAAATTGTCAGATATTATATCGATTAATGTCATGAAAGAGTTCTTTCATGTTGGCTGTTTGGTTGAATCTGTTTATTGGCATATCAACCTCTATGGGTGATTTCATGCTGAAATGTAAATATTTTTAACAATTTTATGGCTTCAGTTAACTATATTTTGAACATAATTGTTTGTCTTCAGTTACAGATAAAATGTATTGTTGACCTTTTTGCTATAAAATGTCTTGCTGGTATTTTTACTATAAAAATTTAATTTTTTTATTTATTTTCATAGTGTCTGCCCATAGCTGGGACCCTAACAAATGCTACTACCCCAAGTTAGCATGGACTCTGCAATAACAGCAATTAAGAGGTGATTGAATGCTCCTCAAAACCTCCAATCTTCTGAGGAGCAGCCTTGCTGCCGGATGAAGTTTATAGTCATACCCAGGACTACATTCCATGAAGTATTAAAAAAAAAAAAAAAAGTGTATGGATGGGGAGAAGATTAACTGTCCAAGAAAAACATGTACATGCTTACCTGGCCTTGGGCAAGTTTGTCAGTGCATGATAAATTTTGCTCTCAAGTAAGTGGACTTCCACAAGGAGAGCTTTGTCATCCAGTTTTTTCAGTTCCTTCAGCAGGGTAGCAGCTGAAATGAATCATATTAGTAATCAATAAGCTTTATTATTGGATAATTGATCAAAAGGAATGAATCAATAAGATTATTAGGTCTTGAAACAGCAGAGTCTTTAAAAAAAAAAAAAAAAAAACATCTGTGTCGGGTTGGTCCCATGGCAAGACCAGAAGACTTTCATTTACCAAAGACTTTTCTGTTCAGCAAACTGATTCCTGTCCAGTAAGTACTAAGAGATAGAGAAACTTTTTTAAAAAGGACACTCATATCATATGAAAAGTTACCACTAGGGAATAATATAGGCTACTGTTTGGAAGAAATTGTATCATAAAGTATCCTAGGCAAACTATGTTGAGCTGAAGAGAACAGCTGTGGTTTAAAATCTATTCCAGAATTTCTCTAACTAAAAAAAAAAAAAAATTCCCTGTTCTATGATGTCCTTGCCAGCCATCAACTGGCCTATAACAAATGTGAACTCCACCCCAAAGCAAATAAATTTTAAAAGACAAGAGGAAAACCTTTTATGCCAATGCATTTCATTCTTGAGGGACTTTAATCAATGCAAATATGGAAATTTTATATAGTAATCTGTATTTATGCACAGAAGTAATATGAAGAAAATAATAAGTTAAATTTTCAAATTTTGAATTAGAGAATGCAGTAAAATATTCTGAAAACTTACTCCATAAAGAAAGGTAAACTATGGAGGATGTTCTGCATATGTAATTTTTCAGCCTATTAAAACGTAATGTAATTGCAAGCTATTTGTCTATATTTTAAATATGAAATTATTATTTATTTATATGCATTTTTATTTTATTTATTTCTAATTTTTAAAAAGATTATGTGTTAACTATATTCTTTTAATGTTTAAAATTTTTTGTCATACATAAGGTGGCTTTTTATATATATGTATATATGTATGCGAGACAGAGAGGACACTGAGGTCAACAGCAAGTGGCGACAACCTGTTTCATGCTTGAACACTATCTTCTGGCCTGAATATATAAAGTTCAACCAATACAATGCTCAAGAATGACTCATGGTAGAGGATCACTGAATGAGGTGGAAGGAAGTGAAGATTATGAGAGTAAGGAGGATAGATAGCGATTGACTCTTGATTTGAGGATATTCAGGGAAGCATCCACACGGGAGTTCAGCTCACAAAATAGCTGTTCTTGGGAAAAAGCTAAGTGAAACTTGCTTCTTACAAATGGAATATGGAGGACATGTGGGTGAGTTATCTCTGTAGATATAGCATGGAGAGTTCAAGCTATAAAGGTTTAAATTAACAGAACTAAAGAATGGAGTTCCTCTGAACATTTGCCATGTAAATTGTGATCAAAATTGATTGTCAATGTTGATCACTTAAAACCAATCAAATATGTTGATTTTAGATACTTGATCTTACAAAAAGTTGAAATCGCCATGTAAAAGATTTTAAGACAGACCATCTTTCATCTGGGAAGCATTTATAAATTATCCCTTTTTTCTCTTACAGTCAGTCATTGGAATGCAGATTAATCATTTCTAATTAGAGATCTGATGAAAAGAGATCAGTAATACAGAAAGACATTTTTGTAGAATTTATTTATCCAAAATAAAGGAAAAATGATTTCAGAACATCATACAGGTTAGATGAAATATCATAGTGGACTGGATTTAGTTCACAGGCCACAGTGAGACAGGTTTTAGATGGGGATAGTAGTAACACTTGGTGAACACTTCACAGGAATAGGTACAAAAATACAGAAAATTTACCCAGGGTCAGTAATGTTTCAACAGATTTTCAAGTAATTATAAACAACACTTGATTGAGGATAAAAAAATAAAAATCATTACTACTTACAAAGAGCCAGGGCTTCTTGGTAATTTTTAGTATCATAATAGACAGAGATAAGACGAGCCTGCAAGACATTATACAAAAATTATATATACATACATATAGAACATTGATACATTATGTAATGATACAGTCTTGATACTGAAAAAGAATGATAATTGTGTATATATGCATGCTCAAATGCATGGATGTGTATCTGTGTCTAACCTCAGATTATTTATATGGGTGTGTTTGTACAAACAAAAAACGCATATGCTTGTATGTGTGTGTATATGTATGTATGTATGTGAGAGTGTCATCCCAAACAAACACAGAAAATTCCTCCCCTCAGACACACACAAATAAGCATAAATAGATCCACTTTTTAAAAAATAAAACAGTGTCTGATTATCACAAACCCAGGGTTACAAACTAATATCCATACAACTGAATATATATATTATATTTTTTATCTACTTTTTAGTATTGAATGTTATAAACACCGAAATTGAACTATTTGTTTGTTTTTACATGACTATATATATATATATATATATATATATATATATATATATATATATATATATATATAGAGAGAGAGAGAGATAGATAGATAGATAGAAGTACTAACATGTTTTTAGTTTTACTTGGGACAATACAAAGAAGCAATATAATATTCCTCTCCACAATAGTCTTGGGGTGGGTGGGAGTGCCTGACCATACTATCAGCTATGGGTAAAATAACAGGATAGAGTGGGTCCTACAACTTTGGGTGGTAACCAGTCAAGGAGAAGGAAAATGAATTCAAATCAGTCTGCTGCCTTGTTGGTCCTGCCTCTATGCAAAAGCTGGAAGGTAACTTCAAAAATTAATCCACCTTGCAGAGAAGAGGGATGAGATAACCTTAACATCCGCAGTGCAAAAGGAATGGCAAACCATTGTATTACTTTGCCTGGAATATCACCATGAACCCTAATTGTGATATGGAGGGGAGTGGTGGCTCCAACAGCATAAAATGTGCTAACTGAATTTGATGAATGAGGACTCAAAGTTAATGTTGTAAATATCATTTCTTTGTAATATTACACTCCACCAAGAATTTTTATACAACTTTAATCAACTTGTGCAACTGAGAAAATGATTTGGAAAATAATAAGCATAAATTACATTTGTTATTAATATAAGTAAAGACCTGATAGAGAATGATTGTTTAATGATGAGACCTGATAGAGAATGATTGTTTAATGATGAGACCTGATAGAGAATGATTGTTTAATGATGAGACCTGATAGAGAATGATTGTTTAATGATGAGACCTGATAGAGAATGATTGTTTAATGATGAGACCTGATAGAGAATGATTGTTTAATGATGAGACCTGATAGAGAATGATTGTTTAATGATGAGACCTGATAGAGAATGATTGTTTAATGATGAGACCTGATTCATGATTGTTTAATGATGAGAGATAAAATGTTGATTGTTTAATGATGAGACCTGATAGAGAATGATTGTTTAATGATGAGACCTGATAGAGAATGATTGTTTAATGATGAGACCTGATAGAGAATGATTGTTTAATGATGAGACCTGATAGAGAATGATTGTTTAATGATGAGACCTGATAGAAAATGATTGTTTAATGATGCCGTTTTGTTCAATTGATGTAAGATAAAATGTAGCCTAACAAATTCATAATAGATATGGACAGCCAGTGATCTTGTTTACTGGTTATGAATGTAGTAGAAAATACAATTTTTTTCTATGGTTGATGACTCTCTCTCAATAAATGACTGAATATATTACATTTATTTATTATTGGTCTAAGTTTAAGATTAAAGCTTGACTATAAACTAATCCATTTATCGTGGCAAAAAATAACAAACAGCTTAGGAATCAAGAGAATCGTATAATTCTGCTTGTTTCTCTATTAGTTAGCATGTGCATTACATCCTGCCATTTATTTTGCATGTGAGGAAAGATGGAAGAAAGAAAAGTTAGAAGAAAGAAAGGGAAGTTAGAAGAAAGAAAGGGAAGTTAGAAGAAAGAAAGGGAAGTTAGAAGAAAGAAAGGGAAGTTAGAAGAAAGAAAGGGAAGTTAGAAGAAAGAAAGGGAAGTTAGAAGAAAGAAAGGGAAGTTAGAAGAAAGAAAGGGAAGTTAGAAGAAAAAAAAAAGAAAAAAAAGGAAAATTAGAAGAGGCAACAAAACCCTCATCCATTTAACGTTTACTTCAGTGAAATGGAAAACCTTGTCAATGTTTGATCTTTTCATTTGTACCCTCTTACTTCTTTAAATAATGACCTGCATTCATACTTATATATTTGGTTAGAGCTGTTGTATTCAAATATTTAACAACACAATAGGAGATTTTATAATTACAGTGCTCACAAGCGGCTTATTCAGTCATTAACTTAAGAATTATGAGTTATCAGAAGAAAGAAAAGAAGCCGATTTCAAATTTCTTCCTGATTGTAATCAGTCTCGTTCCATGTCAAAGTTACCCAGGCAGTGCAATTACTAAATCTTGTATTTTATCAACAGAACAAAATTTCTATGCTAATCTGGCAAACACCTTTCTATTTTGGTCATAGGCACAGGTAGGTAAAAATTACTTACCTCAAGAGGTTGGCGGAGAAATGTCCTTTTCTCATTCTTAGCCCAAGTGATGCAGTCTTTGCATAAGTCAACCTGGAAATAAAATAGAAGAGAATTGTAATGTCTTTTTTTTTTTTATTTTTATGTCTTAGCATGGAGAGTAAATTCTTGAAGTCAGTTCATCAGAAAAAATCTTAACAGCAATAGTTTAACAATGAATATTTACTCATCAAAAATGAAAAAACAAAACTGAATCAAATGTAATTGGTAGATAATTAACAATTTATTTTGTTATTGTTTATTGAAAATAAAAATGCATTATACACAAAATGTCACTCAACATGGTGACGTTTCTAGTAACAGCTGATAATTCAAGCAATGAAAATATTTTTGATGAAATTTCTTTTGAAGATGATATCAATATATTGGGCAGTGAGGGTGATAGTGAAGATTTATCAGAAAAAGAATTAACTAGTGAAAGTGATCTGTAGGATTAGCCCCAATTAGCAATTATTGATCCAGAGGTGGATTCCATGCACCAACATGGCTTCCGTATTGTCTTATGAATATAATTCTAGATGGCTTTATAGGTTTTCCATCAATACTTTGATCAAATTATCACCATTTTGTTTGTTTTCTTCTTGTTTAACAGCACATCAACCCCTGTAAGTCATCTTAGTGCCGAATCCTTTATTTAGTATGCTTAGGATTTGTAAGAAAGTTTGTAGTTAAATTCTTTAGAGATGAGTTTTTGGTTAAAGAGGTTCTTAAATATTTTTTTTTTTATTTGATTATGAGAGATTACATCTTTGTGTAAAGTCCATTTTATTTGGATTGATTTGTCTGAAAATCTTGTTCATGTCTCTTACATTTTATAGAATTTCCCCCAATATAGTTAAAGTCAGTATAGTCTACAAGTATGTGCTTGATGGTATATGTTTTTGGCATGCTGTATATATATTGGAGGTTCATTGTTTTTAAGTAAAAAAAGAATGGATTAAAATGTTACCAACTATGACAGACAGCTGAAGAATACAATAGACAAAACATTGTAACTGTGAAAACCAGGATGAGAACACCAGGTTGAATAAATCAGTATGATATTAATGATGATGATGATGATGATAATAATACTATATGGGTCAAACTCTCCTTGTCTAGGATTAAACAACTGAGCAAGGACTTTACCTCTTTGCCAGTCCCTGCCTCCAAGTCAAGAAAATGATCAACCAATGCCCGAACCAAATTGGCTGCTTTGGCTTTGCTGACCAATCCTAAAAATGGACGAGTCTTTTTGATGAGGTCAGCAAGAGCTGAAAAAGAAATTAAAAAAATGAAATAAATACATGATATTAGATATATATATATGTTTATTTTAATGTCTTTGTACATGTAGTTTATAAATTGTCAAATATAATTTGAAATCAAAAAGTTTACAGCTATTTCTCTTATTAATATCAACATTATTTTTAGGGAGAGGGTGCTATCCTCCTTTTTTTTTTTTTCTTTTTTTAAAAAAAAAAATAAAAAATAAAAAAAAAATTAAACAGTGAAATTAATAACAACCATCCTAAACTGAGAAGCTCCCAAGAAAAAGTGTGCCTCTGACAGGAATCAAACAGTCACCCCCTTTTTTCCATCAGGGAAACCAATTTTTTTTAGTAATATAATGTCAGATAAAAAAAAATCCCTTCAAAAATAACTATTTTCTGATATGTAACCATGTCTAACACAAACTGACTTTCTTAATGACCACTTCATTCTTATTTAGCAAAACAAAACAAGTATCAGCTTTTATTTGTATCAATAGTTTTATCAGCAACATAGAATATGAGGTCTGATCAAAAAATACTGAGACTGTTGCAATGGTAACAGAGCTATAGAATGCAAAGCAAAGCCACTTAGCACAGACTGGCCTTGAATTCTGTTGCACATACACGCTAAGTTCTAACACTCAATTACTTCCATTGTTTATAACAGTGCTTGGAAGGAAAGTGTGTAGAGTGTGGTTGTCTCAACACACAACAGAGGTTCCATCAGTGACCATGGCTTGTGTAGTAGTTTTTGAGCAAACACAACATTCTCCATGTCTGACAATCACTGTATTCCCCAAATCTCACCCCTGGCAACATTTTCCTCTTCAAAAATCAAGTCTCACTTGAAAGGAACAAGATTTCAAGACACCAAGGAGATGCAAGAGAATGCAAAGACGCTACTTCTATCCCAAAAAAGGAATTCCAGGAATGCTTCCCCTCAATGGAAACAACACTGGATAAAGTGTGTGGCTTCAGAAAGGAGACTACTTCAAAGGATATTAAATGCCAAAGTGATACATGCCAGAGTTTTCTTTTTATAGTCCCAGCCCCAATACTTTTTGATCAGACCTCATATATGCCCCACTTTTTTTTTTTGCTTTTTTTTTTTTTTTAAACAGATTACATACCTTCTGCATTTTTTTGGTCAAACAGAAGTGTACCAAGCTTCAAAATGGATTGTTCCTTATGCCTGACGTCATCTTCTTGTGAAGGATCCACATCTCTCTCTACTGCAAAACACAAGAAAATAAGAAAAATATTTAAGCTAATAATCAAACATTTTTGTACCCTTCAGTACCATATAGGAGGACTGATATTACATAACAGTTCAGTACTCTCTTCTTTGTTGCTAACAAAATTTTTCAGTTTCTTAATACTTTGCTTAACTTTTGGAAGTCATCTTTCACTATTCCAGTGTACCTTTGGATTTTGGTGTTGCATTTTCCATTCTCTATTAAAACATTTGCTAGATATTTAAATTTTGCTTGATTTTGGTGTTTCTGATTCATAGTTTGCATCTTGGGTTGCCCCTTTTGCTGACAAACATACATTCAGTTTTCTTGCTTTCCTTTGCTACCTACTATTGGAGTTCCTGTTCTATGTTTCATATCAATACTATGTCATCTGTATATCTTATGTTGTTAAGATTGTAGTTACCAATAATGAATCCTAGTAGGACTTCTAATTCTCTCAGAATTGCCTCACTGTATAGGCCATTGGTGACAAGACACACCCTTATCATATGCCCCATTGCATTTTAAAAGGTAGAGCATAAATTACAATTCTCAGCAAATCTATCCACCTGTTCAGAGTTGAAGCAGATCAGAGTCCTAAGGAAGACACGATGGGTACAAATTATGAAAGACAAACACCAAAGCAGAGGAAGGAGAACATATAAATTTCACATTTCCTGAAATTTGAATGACTGCAAGGGACACCTGAGAACTAACATTTTATTTTCAATATATCTAAAAGCAAGCATAAAAGCTTTGAGAAACTATGGAAAAAAAGAAAAAAAAAAAAAAAGGAAGCAAATTTATCTTAGTAGCTTAATTAGCAAGAAAATTATAACCATTCAGAGTTCATAAAAACTTTGAAAAATTTTCATCTCATGCGTGATTGGACAGTGTGTAACTCAAGAGGCAGGCTTCAAACAAGGTAAAAAAAAAAAAAAAAAAAAAAAAAAAAAAAACAAAAAAAAAACATAAATGAAATATCATATAGAATGATAATGAAATCAATAATTCTTATCTGACCAGCCTAAACCATGGGAAAATTTTGTTCTCAAAAAACAAAATCATAAAAATGATATAGAAGGGCAAATTTGATCGATCATTTGAATTTCATTTCGACATTTAATGCCTTACAACTTCTCCCTATAATTCATAGCACAACAGAGAAGACATTAAGTTTTTCTTTCAGCAATACCTCAATAAAAAAAAAAAAAAAAAAAAAAAAACTATATTTATGCCACATAAAAATAGCAAGAGTGCAATTTGGCAATACCATACCACACTGAACTTGCCATAAAAAAGTATCTTATTTTGTAAAATTGTGAAATTATGTAATTTTCCCCTTGTCAAAAACAGAAAAGAAATGACTATAAAATTTAAAAAATTGTTTTACAAGAGGAAAGCAAATACTTTATAATAGTCCTTTAAACTTTTTCTGTTTTAAACTGACAGAAAAAAAAAACTTTTCTAGACATCATGAATGGCTCTCCAGCACTTCCTTTCCTCATGGTGACTTGCCAACTGAATCTCCTTATAAGCCTCTGATATAGCTAATATTTCTGGAACACATCATATTTAGCTAACACTTAAAACTGGCATTACATCAAAGTCTCATCTGAAGACAAAATCAGATTCCACTTGGGCAATATCATCTGACAAAGGCCATTGGAAATAATCATTTCTTCTCTTTTTTGGAGCTAAACACTTTATCACAGCACTGAATGGAGATGCAATATCAATGACTCAGCCAATGTAAAAGTTGGAGTTAAATTGCAACTTATTAGCACAGAAACTGAAAATATTGAACACCTAACAAAGGTTAGAGTGTACCCAAAATGAAATATTGTAATTGAGACAATACTAGATGAATAAACTAACCTAAAAGAAGCATTAGACAAATAGTAAAGTAAAATAAATACCACATTTGAAACCCCAAATAAAAAGAGGTAAACTTTGAATTTCAGGTGTTGTTAAAAATGCTGCTTCTTTAATGAAATGCTTTCAATCCTCAAGTGCTTTGGGTTTCTTGTTATTAAATACATTAATCTGACTCCACCTCAGATAGGATAACCAAGGTGTTGGTACCCAAAATCAATCGTATCACTCTTCCAAACCACTAGTTTGCTAATTTTCTCTCCCAAAACTCAGACATGCGATTAATATGCCAGAGTGTCACGCTGCTGAAAGATCATTGTTTCAAAGTCCTTATGGAGATTTATGGAAAAAAGAAATGCTACAACTTGTTAAAACCCTTTTCACCTGTAATGTTTCCAACAATGAAGAAACGATGAATCCATTTGTAACATTTACTAATAGTTTATGTCAGTGATTCACAGCCCAGCAAAATAATTTTCCTTATTGTATAATTAATAAAAAAAATATTTTTTCACATTTTGCTTTTCTTTGTATTTTTACTTCAAATGTGATAATCACTTTATTTACACCAGGTTCAATATGTTACCTCAGAAATTCAGTTAAAAAAAAACAAAATATGAAACTATATAATATACAACATTTCTTCAACCAGCAATTCTGATTAAGCAAACCCAAGCAGAAAATATCCCAAAATTTTACATACTAAGATTCATCTTTGTTAAAACAGTCATTTCTGTATCCATAACCTATAGAGTAATTGGTAAAAATGCTTAACAAATGGAACTGACAAAGTTTTCAGTAAACAATAGCAAAAGAAAGAAAAGAAAAAAAAAAAAAAAAAAGGTAAAATAATACTAAGTAAACAATATACTCGATGTAACAGCAAAATTGTCTACATCAGATGACAGCATCATAATCCATCCCACAAAATGTTTAATACCAAAAAAAAAAAAAAAAACCCACTAAACTAATTGAGTTTCTTTATTCCAGGCTTTCAGATAACATGTTTAGCCATCTTGACACCATTTGTGATAAGAATCACTGAAAAACCCTTCAGCTAAAAAGAGAACAGGTTAAAATCATTTTGTGTCAAACTCATTGTCTTCCCAAATGGAGAGTAATTAACGATAGCAAAAGTAAAGAAAAAACAAAAATATGGGGGAAGAAACTAAGATTTGGTATATTTTACTGGTTAGGAAGAAATCCTAGCATGCATCTGTATGATGTGCCTATAAATTTATTAAACTGTTCACCATTTGTGATAAGAATCACTGAAAAACCCTTTGAGTTATTCAGCTAAAAAGAGAACAGGTTAAAATCATTTTGTGTCCGACTCATTGTCTTCCCAAATGAGCAATGGTGAGAGGGAAAAGATCATTCAGGCCTTTAGTAATGGTACCAACATTCATATTCTGGCTTCCATCTTCAAAGTTCATTCAAAAACCATCAAGAGAACAGTGAATAAGTTTAAAAAAGAGGGAATAGTAGAAAGAAAAACTGGATCAGGAGGACACAACAGAAGAAGGATCATCATTTCAACTTGGAGTTAAAGATACAACTCAATCCTATAAGATGTTTGGCATGTCGGAAAGGAGTTTCAGCTATGACAATCCAAAGAGCAGTGAAAAAAGATGTGAAAATGAAGTTGCACAGGAAATCTGTGAAGCACCTTGTTACTTTAAGACAGAAAGTTAGAAGGTTAGAGAGGGTGAAGATCATCTTGAATAAGTTAGAAAATGATGCTGGAATAAATATATATATATATATATATATATATATATATATATATATATATTTTTATATTTGAACTTTATTTCAATACTTCATGAGCTTCCAATCCTTAGTTAGGATTAATTATTGATGAACATGTCATTTTCATTTATTATTGATTTTATCACAATTTTTCTGTTAAGCTTGGAGAGTAATTAACGATAGCAAAAGGGATACAGTCAAGTGAAGAAAAAACAAAAATATGGTGGAAGAAACCAAGATGTTATACATTTTACTGGTTAGGAAGAAATCCTAGCATACATCTGTATGACTTGTCTATAAATTTGAGGAGGGGATGTTTTTAGCAATCATTCCCATTGAACTGGAACCAGCAGCAATCAATGAACAGTGTCTGTAATTAGTTTAGAGAAAATTTCAAAATGATCACTTTTTTCTATCATGGTCTTGGGTACTGTGATCTATTGTTCTTTTTGCTTTTTTTTCAAAAGGAATGCATCAGTGTGACAGAAGCTCAAAATACTTTCTTTTTGTTTATTAAACTGTTCACTTTCTTAAATTCTATGATTTTTTATCCAACTCCACACATAGATAAAAATGTCATCTCTTAATGCTTATTTATCAGTGAGCACTCATATATGTAAAAAAAAAAAAAAAAAAAAAAAAAAAAAAAGAAAGATATTTCGGTTGAGCTCTTTGGGAAGAAAAGTGAATTTGTAAACAGTGACTATTACTGCTGCAAGACTCTTCCATCAAGATGAATAGAGTTCTCCAGTCACTGGCATGTTTGTCTAAAAATAAATACATCAACTTCACCCCTGCCGTGTGCCAATGGCTTAGGGGTAAAATCTGACTGATACCAAATCAGTTGGGTTTCAATCCCAGCTTGAGGCAATCAGATGTCTAGCCACACTGATGAGCTGTGAAACAGCAAAACAGTGTCTGTGAATGACTATATATGTGATAACAATATATATTTTTATATATCAAAAACAGTATTGAGGAAATTGTATGACAAAGTGGAAAAAGTTTACTCGTAACACATTTCATCCTTCAGGACTTCAGACTAAATTTGTTATGTTGGTGTGACTACACATGCACATGAATGAAAGGGTGCTGGGAGTTTTAGATTTTTTTTTTTTATCTAACTGAATTGATTTAGTCTTTTTTTTCTTTTTGAAGTAGGTATTCCACACTGTGATATTAGAAGATCTGCTAGTAATGGTGAAATATTGTAAGAGCCAGAGTGCAAACTTACTGTAGATGACTTTGTGATTAAGTCATTCTCTAGACATTTATAACGTAGTGAATTATTTTCTCCTTTGATCAGAGTAGCATTTTTAATTCAAAATTGTGGCCTGTTTCATTACAGTGGCCAACCACTGCATTTACTA